CCTGTCCAAATTGAACTTGAACTTGAACTTGACTGTCAATAAGATACTCACAGCTGCCAGAGATATACCAGCTTATAGCATCCTTTTCCAAAGAAGGAACAATGATATTGTGTGATTTCTACCTACCAGATGGTAACCCAACGTCCTTCTCCTTTGTTGACATCGTTCATTTTTGTGCCAGCGGTTACCAATAGTAATCGTCATATTGGTGCATTCAAACACACATTTTCAGGTTAAGCTGACTAGAAAATACCCATCTCCACGCAATTCTAATCACGTCCATGCAGCCAATCGGATAGCTGTGTCATCTTGAATTCACACCGTTTGTCTTGCCACTAGTGGCCAACCCTACGCCGCAAATTGGTAAATGAGTGCCGATCTGGAACATTGAGCAGCAGCTGTACCCGGTAACGTGATCTGTTTTGTTTCACGCTCAATTTGTTCAGTCTTTCAACGGCGTTTGTTGACATAGATCACCTTATATTACCAGATCCGCTTATTTCATCGTCAAATTTACGTATCTGTTACCCTTTGCTTTTCTTTCCGACGACCCCTTTTCTTTGGATATGATCTGTGAACCTCGTGCAAACTTCACAATATAAGGTGTGTGTAGCACTCAAAACGATAACTGCTATCTTTTAGGTGCTATTTCATCGTTGACCAATTGTGCATTATTGTTTCCTGTATTAATCTTCCTTATAATTGGCTTGTCCCTTGAACGTTTTGTAAGTTCCCGCTTTAACGCGTTGCTCCTCTCTCCCCTTATCCGTCTGCGTCTTCTTGTAACCCCTGGAGTACTTTGTGTTTCAGAAGTCACTCAACAGCTGTGTCTTGCCTACCGAATGGAAGGAGGCTCTTGCTTGCCCGCTTTTCAAGTGCGGTGACAAAGACCTACCGGCTAATTACAGGCCTATCGGCTTGACTAGCGTGGTCGTTAAGTTACTTGAAAAATTTACGAAATATAGTGGAGACCATTTAAATATGCTTAACCTGCTTAGCGTCGGGCAACATGATTTTCGCAAATGCTTTTCGTGTCAGATGAACTTGTTAGTAGCTCGTAAGTGCTGGACAGACTCTGGGACTGGTCTACTTTGTGGCTACTGCCCATAAATCAGGCTGTGTTCCGTCCTTCGTATAGGAGCAACTTTCTCGCCTTCGAGCTATGTACACGGTGTGGTCGAACTCCCCCTTGTCTCTAACCAGGTAGGCCCAGGCGTCGTCCATTCCTCGTCTTTGCATTCTGGTGACAACTAGAAGCTTGCAAGTAGGGGTTTCAGAATGTTGTGGTTAATACGCCACTCTTTCGGGGTCTTAACTGCTGACATTTGTGAAGCTATTCTCAACTTTCGTCCGGCCCCATCTGGAATACTGCGTCCAGGCTTGTCCGCTCTGCCTTGTTCGGGACAAAATGGAGCTCGAGAGGGTTTTGAGAGTAGGTACCAAATTGGTCGAGGAGTTACGGGAGCAATCGTACCCCGATCGTCTACTAAGCTTGGGTATGTATTCAATGCACTACCGGCGGCTTCGAGGTCATCATCATCATCATCAACAGCAGTACATCAGCTTCGAGGTGACCTAATCCTTACTTACCGCATTTTAACAGGGATGGTTGGACCGGACTTGAGCTCGCTATTTAGCCCGGCTAGGTTGCCTTGTCTTCGCGGTCATCCCATGAAGCTATACAAGCCGCGTTCTGACCGGATCAGGGCGGGTACGCGGTTATCGCGTAGAGCTATCGAGCGCTGGTACTCTCTTCCAGAAAGTGTAGTCAGTGAACCTACGCTTAAGGGTTTCGAGCGTTAGTTAGACGCTCCTGGGTGGCAACACGAAACCTTTCCCTTCTCCTGACCATATCCATCTTCAAACTTTTAGTTCTTATTCTGTCATTCTCTTCACTCTTTGGTGTTATCCTTCATTTTAATGACTTTCATTCCCCTTTATCTTCCATTTACTTTCTACCTTATTCTTACTTCACGTAACCTACACAGCATGGACTGCTAGTGCAGGGGACGTGGGCAGTAATTGGTTGATCAGGGTGTGTTTCGGGTGTTTCCTTTTAGATCTATCAAGAACTAGCACCTTATCATTTCCTGGCTCAACGATTTGCTCAAGAAGGAACACTCAAGGGATTTTCCTATCGTTCCAGTCCATCTGAATCTGATGGGTTGAATCCGTAGACAGTGGACATGCAGTGGACGTGGTGTACATTGACTCCGCCAAGGCCTTTGACACTGTCCCCCATTCGCGACTCTCACTGAAGTTGAAGTCGTATGGAATATCTGGTCGCGCCCTCCGGTGGGTGTCAGCTCTTCTGGATGGACGGGAACAGTGTATTCGTGTGGGAAGCAGTCTTTCGTTTTGACAAGTTGTACTTAGCGGCGTTCCACAAGGCTCTGTCCTAGGTCCGCTGTTTTTCTTAGTCTACGTGAATGACTTGCCGGAGGAGCTTGAGGTACCATTGCTCTTATTTGCTGATGACCTAAAGCTCTGGAATATTGTTGATACCCCTGGATGTCCTGTGGCTCTTCAACGGGCTCTGGATAGACTCTGGGAATGGTGTCTTGTGGTTGCTGCCCATAAACCGGGCAAGGTGTTCAGTGCTACGTATCGGAGTGCCTGCTTCCTTCAAAAGTTATGTGCTCGATGGGAGTGAACTCACGTGACTCATCAGATTGATCTAGGTGTCGTCCACTGTTCCACACTACACTCTGGAGACAACTGGAAGAAGGCAGCTAGTAAATGGTTCCGGATGTTGTGGTTTATCCGTCGTTCTTTCGGGACCCTTACCGCTGATGTGTTTGTGAAGCTCTTCTCAGCGTTTGTGTGACCCCACTTAGAATATTGCGTCCAGGCCTGTCCACCATGCCTCGTCCTGGACAAATTGGCACTATAAAGGGTGATGCGTGTCAGTACTAGGTTGGTCGAGGGTTTACGAGGACAAACGTACTCTGAACGCCTACTTTGGGTATGCATTCAAAGCACTATCGAAGGATTAGTGGGGACCTAATCCTAACCTACCGTATTTTGACTGGGAAGGTTGGCCCTGATTTGTCCTGGCTTTTAAGTCCTGCTAGATTATCTGGTCTCCGCGGGCATTGTATGAAGCTGGAGAAACCGCGGTCCGATCGAGTTAGAGCGGAGACACGGTTATCGCGTCGAGTCATCGAGCGCTGGAACTTGCCTCCAGAAAATGTTGTCAAAGAAGCTACGGTTAGGGAGTTTGAGCGTCAACTTGACGCTCTTGAGTGGCAACGCGAAACCTTTCCTTTTTCCTGACTAATTCCCATCTTTATACTTAGATTCTATTTTCTTTACTTTTCCTCGCCATTGGTATTATTCTCTTTAACTCATTTCCGCTACTCTCTTATCTTCGCTTTTTCTTCCTCTCTTACTTCACGTATTTGACATAGCTGGGACAGTTAATGTGAGGAACATGGGCATTAAATTGGTGGACCATGGTGTTTCTTCCGGTGTTTCCCTTTTAGACCCATCAAGAAGTCGGAGCACCTCTATCAACTGGATCAACGACCTGCTCAAAAAGGAGCACTTACGGGATTCATCCTATCGTTCCAGTCCCACTTGCACTTGAACTTGAGAACAATGATAAGGTCTTAACCTTATAAATCGGTGTGCTTCAAGAAGACGGTTATGGTAAATGAAAAGACTGGCTACTGGTGTGTGGGAAGGTGACGCTCTTTCATTGTATCATTGTATGGTAGAGAGCAGGAGAGTCCTTTACCAGCTCCGTCGTTTCCCAGTCATTGCGGACATTGCTGGAGTCATAGTGAATATAGGCTTCCACAATGAACCTTAAAGCTATGTTGTGAAGCAATATCCGGGCACAGTTATCAAGTGGGAATCCAACATTTTCTTGAAACTCCTTGGACTACGCATCAACGACGAGCTCCGGAACGCGATTCCAGTCATTAACCAGGCGCGTGGATATAGCTAGATCTGACCGCACATCGAGTCTCCTCGATTTGTACCGTTTCCATCTGTGACCACGTGTCGAACTTTCAGTATTCAGATGAAAGAACTGCTGTAACTCTCTTCCTAGCTCTCCTCAGGATAGGTCAAGTGTAGCTCAAATCGCCGTGACGACTACGGTAATCCAGAGAGAAAACGTTTAATCGCTGAAGACGGAGAGGATAAGATAGGCACTGCAGCTCTGACACATTTAGATCCACGGCGTTGGACCTCAATCATATCGCATTCGGTCTTCGTTAGAGGCTGGGCAGCTGACAAGCCGTACTCGAGAATCGGCCGCACATGTGAGGCAAACAAAAGTCTGAAGAGTTCTGGAGTAAGACGGGAGAATGCTCTTCATAAGGCATGAAACATTCTGTAAGAAGCGGCGACCCTTTTCTGGGTTCCTCAGTTGTTTTGAGGTAAGCAGACACAATTACTCCGAGCTCCCTTTCCTCAGCGACGTTTCTAAGCAGGAAACCTGCAATATGGTACACCCCGAATGGCTCACGAGCACCAATCGGGAGTACGGAACATTTATCCCGGTTGATAGGTAACTACCATTTTACCGACCAGTCGTGGAGCCTTGAGTGTTTATTGAAGGCTGTCTGCATCCTCAAGACTGGATACCTCAATACAAAGTTTTAAGTCATTGGCATAAATCAAACATCCCGTCTGCAGCTCGGAGGGGAGATCTTTAGTAAAGAAATTGAAGAGGACAGGACCAAGGACAGAACCCTGTGGGACACCACTGATCATAGGAAAAGTATCAGAAAGCGTATCACTCACCCTTACCTGCGCAGAGCCACTGTACAGGAAATCTGAGGACCAGGAGATAAAAATTTCCAGCAACGCCAATTCCGCGAAGTTTGAAATGAACCCGCTCATGCGGAACCTTGTCAAAGGCCTTGCTAAAACTAACAAACACAATATCCAATCGTTTGCCAACATCTATTGATCTCACCCATTTCTCCCTTGCCACAAGCAAGTTTGTGATGCATGAGCGAGCGCTTCGAAATCCATACTGCGCAGAAGAGATGAAATCTAACTTTTCGAGATGGAGGCATAGCGCGCGTTTTATTGTCCGTTCCATAATTTTTCAGACTACAGATCTCAAACAAATAATACGATAATTCGCTTGATCTTGTCGGTTTCCTCCTTTATAAATAGGCTTGATGATGCCCGATTTCCGGGCAGCCGGAAGACGTCCAGTATCAAGAGACAGACGGAATATTTGACAGGCAGGTGCAGTGATGTGCTCGGCTACAGTTTTAAGGAACAATGGATGTAGGCCACCAAGGCCAGGTGAAGAATACGGGTTTAAATTAAGAAACAGTTTCAGTACAAAATCAACGTTAATATCCAAGTGCTCTAACAAAGAAGGAAGAAATGACAAGAAGCTGTCAGGGGGAGACGTTTCTGTTGAATACACCGAGGAATATTGCTTACCTAAAATGTTGGCGTTTTTTGTGTCTTCGTGAACTAAAGCAGCATGTTCACGGAAACACAAGGCAGGGATGCCACTGCCGGCCCTGGTACTTCGTTCGATGTACGAGAAAAGCGTTATGGATATGGTCCTAGAAAGAGTAGCTAAATACACTTCGTATAGTTGGCGTTTCTCCCGTTTTTGAAAAGTA